TTTTGGTTTCGATGTGTGGTTCATCAACGAAGTATAAACTGACTTTTCTAGAAATCACATATTTTAAAATCATGAATATTGATTGAAAATCTTATCAAGAGATTCGCAAAACTTCATAAGGTCTGCGATATAAAACAACTTATAAAACAATGATCCTAAAAACATATAAAAAACGTTTAATACGATACGGAAAAATAGCCTATAATCGCAACATTCGTAAATTCACGTCAGAGCACATTTCAACCTATTGGGTGAGACATGTATTTAAAAATTATTGAAGAGGCTAATCGATGAGTCAAAAGATTGTTTCCTAGTGAATAGTCTTCCCTGATATATTTAACTTTATTATTTCATATGATTAATACGTATAAATTCACTAGGTAGTACATCATAATATGTTTGAATTTATCACGTACAAGCGAATCATAATTGAGTATAAATTTGATCTGTACAATAATCTGCGAGGTTAATTCTTATCAAAGCAATAATTCTTATTGTTCCAGAGGTTTCTCGCAACATTTTACCGATTCTGGCGATGCTACCCTCGTTTACCATGGTGTGGACTCGTACTAGGATTCCGTTTCCGCAAAACGATGCCACGCCTTCTATCGTTGTGCTGTACCGGTACGTGTTCACTTACTATCCAATTTTAAAACGCAGCTTCTGCTTGACTTTTGTAGCTTAAAATTATTGATTTTATTCGATTTGTGTTAGATTACAACTGAACTTATGAAGAAAATCACTAGAAATTTGTTCACTAATTAAACTATGAAGATATGATGATAAAATAATAGCGGAACAACTTGGAATACGAAGAACTACCGATCAGCCTTCTTACTTGACGAGGATCATCTATAACACGAGAACTCAATAACTGACGATATATTTTCCTATAATGGTTTTTTATCCATTTCAAGTTCGTAAACTGAGGTCCATCACAACCATTTCCGACCGTAAAGAAGTAATTCCTTTCGAGACCTACTATGGCCTGACATCATTATTGGATTGCTTCCAATAATTTGAGAATATCGTGAAAAAAAGCTACGATTTAAACGAGTATTATAGGATTCAATGAGAAGGTAACGATTCCCATAATAAATGATGTCCAAAGTAATTTAGCATAATGGCCACTATATAAGCTTAACGAATAAGCTTATGAAACAACCTCATCCAATCTATCCATCTTGAATTCCAGTAATTAATTCCTTTTTTTGAGGTTTGTCAACAGTTGTTCGTTGAAAAGATTTTCAAAAACTAAACAGTTGTTAAAAATTCTTTTCGAACGTACGTGTACAAGTGAAGAATTATTTTGTTGGTAAATAAAATTAGTAATTAGTATGTTTGACAGAAGCTTAAAAAAACAAATGATTCAAATTAGTCATACACCAAGTAAACAAATGTGCTTTAATTTTTTATACTTTTTATTTTAAATTTGCATAGAAGAAGGATACTTTCCAATAATGGAATGTGTTGCTAGCATTTTTTTACACATGAGGATTAACAAGAATATGAGGAATTTGAAAAAGGCATGCTAATGACTCAATGGATAACAAACAAGCTTAACAATTATGTTAAACTTGAGTCTAATAAGCTTGGTTCTGTCTACGTGAGGTAAAATAAGTTATAGCTATAGCCTGAAAAAATCACAATAACC